CTAGGAAAGCAGTAAGAAGACAGTCCAGGTCCATGGGCCTCTGCACCCACGTGGGAGACCTGGAAGAAGCTCCTGGCTCCTGGCTTCAGATCAGCGGAGCTCCAGCCATTGCGGCCATTTGGGGAGTGAACCAGCGGACAGAAGACCTTTCTCTCTGTCTCTCCCTCTCACTGTCTGTAACTCTACCTCTCAGATAAATAAATAAATAAATAAAATCTAAAAAAAAATGTTCAGATAAGCAATTACTTGGTTTTTCAGCATAATTATGCCCCATGTAACGCTTGGGATGAACTTGCACTAAAAATAATAACAGTAGTAATAATAATAACAGGGAACAGCATTGTCGCACAGGGGGTAAGCCACCACTTGCAACATCAGCATCCCATGTTGGAGTGCCATTTGAGTCCTGGCTGCTCTGCTTCTGATCTAGCTCCCTGTTAATATGCTGGGAGAGTAGCAGATAAAGTACTTGGCCCTCTGCCATCGATGTGGTAAACCTGGGTGGAATTCCAGGCTCCTAGCCTCAGCATGGTCCAGCCCTGACCACTATAGCCATTTGGAGGAGTGAACCAGCAAATGGAAGATTTCTTTCTTTGTCTCCCTATCTCTGTCACTCTTCCTTTCAAATAAATAAATCTTTAAAAAAGAATTTATTTGAAAGTCAGAATTACACAGAGAGAAGGAAAGGCAGAAAGAGAGAAGTCTTCCATCCTCTGGTTCACTCCCCAATTGGCTGCAACAACCAGAGCTGCACCGACCCAAAGCCAGGAGCCAAAATCTTCTTCCAGGTCTCCCATGCAGGTGCAGGGGCCCAAAGACTTGGGCCATCTTCCACTGCCTTCCCAGGCCATAGCAGAGAGCCAGATTGAAAGTGGAGCAGCCTGGACTTAAAACTGCCCTTATGGGATGCCGGCACTACAGGCAGCGACTTTACTGGCTATGCCACAGCGCCAGCCCCAATAAATTCTTTCAAAAATAACAAAATTATTACCTGAGATTCCCATTTAAATAGAGTACCCTGTATTTTATCAGGCCAAACTGCCTGCTGGAAACTTCTCTTCAAATGCAGACTGCTAGAGAGATACCACCTCCTGGGCAAAGGTGTGAAGGTGGGAGGTCCAGCTGGCTTCCTATTCCCTCCTCTCCTCCCATAGCCTCACCCCCAGTTCGTCTCGCTAAACAGGCAGAATTGTCGAAAAAAGTGAAACAGAAGCACTGGGAGCAGCTTTAGTAAACAGGTGCTGTCTGTTCCAGGAGCTGCTCCGAGACCCTCTATACATCGGCCTGAAGCACCGGCGCGTGCGCGGGAAGGAGTACGACGACTTGCTGGATGAGTTCATGCAGGCCGTGACAGACAAGTAAGTGGGCCAGACCTTTTGAGAGAGGATTCTTTTTTTTTTTTTTTTTAGGCATTACTCAAAAACTATTTTTTTTTAACTTTTATTTAATGAATATAAATTTCCAAAGTACGGCTTATGGATTACAATGGCTTCCCCCCCATACCGTCCCTCCCACCCGCAACCCTCCCCTCTCCCACTCCCTCTCCCCTTCCATTCACATCAAGATTCATTTTCGATTCTCTTAATATACAGAAGATCAGTTTAGTTTACAGAAAGTAAACATTTCAACAGTTTGCTCCCACACAGAAACATAAAGTGAAAAATAATAGATGATTTTTTAAATGATGCTGAGATCAGATCAGACCTATTGTCATGTTTAATCCCAGTGAGAGTCAAGTTGGGAATTGATAATTTCTTTTTTTTTTTTTTTTTTTACAGAAGATCAGTTTAGTGTACATTAAGTAAAGATTTCAACAGTTTGCACCCACATAGAAACACAAAGTGAAATATACTGTTTGAGTACTCGTTATAGCATTAAATCTTAATGTACAGCACATTAAGGACAGAGATCCTACATGAGGAGTAAGTGCACAGTGACTCCTGTTGTTGACTTTACAAATTGACACTCCTGTTTATGGCATCAGTAATCTCCCTATGCTCCAGTCATGAGTTTCCAAGGCTATGGAAGCCTTTTGAGTTCTCCGACTCTTATCTTGTTTAGACAAGGTCATAGTCAAAGTGGAGGTTCTCTCCTCCCTTCAGAGAAAGGTACCTCCTTCTTTGAAGACCTGTTCTTTCCATTGGGATCTCACTCACAGAGATCTTTCATTTAGGTGGTTCTTCGCTATTGTTTCCTTTTTTGCCAGAGTGTCTTGGCTTGAGAGAGGACTCTTAAGAGATACCTGGACTGAAGTCAACACTGGTTTTGGCAGATACACAAATAAGAGGCAGTTGTGTGCTTTTCCAGGTAGTCTGAAAATTCCAAGGGGAATCAGAGTACTTGGTTGGAAGATTAGGAACTAGATGAGCTCATTCTCTGGGAGAGTCTTTGGGAGCTGAGGGAAGAGGAGAGAAAAGAAGGTTGATGGCTGCTGGCTCTGTGTCCCAGAGGTAGGGAAATATCTGTTTTCCCAAGAGGAACCCCTCGCCCCTTGGCTTGAGCTGTTTCAGGGTTCTCTGCATGAACAGGGTTGTCTCAAGAAGAGGTGGAAACATGTGTGCCCTTCTGATGAAATGGCTTTGGCAGGCAGTTTGTCATATTTTTCATCATTTCCCAACTCTTGTGAGGACGAGACAGTGTTAATGAGCCCCTGAAGTGGACTACACGGGCACTAGGCCTGCAAGATTTATGAGGTGTTAGCTTTCACTGAGGCGCATGATATTGCAGCATCCATTCCTGTCCACCACCCCAGCCACCTGATCACTCTGCTATGGCTGGCATGCAACAGCCCTCAACCACCCATGTTTCATCTGAAATGCAAACTGACCAAACTAGAGATTCAGCAGCTCCTCAGGCCTCTGAGGACAATGCAGGTCCCATTCTTACTTGAAAATCTCCAGCCTTTCCTGCTGTCCCATTATGCCCAGGTAATGGCAGAGCTGCCCTCCTGTCCTCGGCAAAGTACTCCCTTACCCAAGCTCAGCCATAGCCACTTGGACCAAACAGTGGGCTGGAGAAAGAGCTGCTCTAGCCTCTACAGCCTATTAAGCCTCATTTGAGTGGTCTTTGGGGGGGGTGGGCAAAATGTATTTGACCCTTGACCTTTCCAAAGTTTACATGTATGTGACTTTGGGCAGCTTACCATACCTTTCCAAGCCCTTTATCTGGGTTTTTAAAAAAATGAGTATTTTTCTTCTTATTGTATTTATTTTTGTTTTTTAAGATGAGAGGAAAAAATAATGTGGCCATACAGTATGGGAATGATCCTGAAGAAAAGAGGACATTAATGATGGAGTACAGAATGAGGGGCAGAGTTCTTGAGTAAGTGAGAGGAGAAAGCATCTAGTGCATACCTGGAGAGCTTAGTCTTAAGAGCACAGAAAGGGCCGGTGCCATGGCTCACTAGGCTAATCTTCCACCTGTGGCACCGGCACCCCGGATTCTAGTCCTGGTTGGGGCGCTGGATTCTGTCCCGGTTGCCCCTCTTCCAGGCCAGCTCTCTGCTGTGGCCCGGGAGGGCAGTGGAGGATGGCCCAAGTCCTTGGGCCCTGCACCTGCAGGGGAGACCAGGAGAAGCACCTGGCTCCTGCCTTCAGATCAGTGCAGTGCACTGGCTGCAGCGGCCATTAGAGGGTGAACCAACGGAAAAAGGAAGACCTTTCTGTCTCTCTCTCTCTCACTGTCCACTCTGCCTGTCCAAAAAAAAAAAAAAAAAAAGCACACAGAAAATCATAGGCAGGGCTGTAGATCAGGCAGTGGAGCCAGAGCTCCAGGCGCAGATGGGGCAGGCAGGTAGATATGGTGGTGGGAACATGTGGGAGTCCTAGATGAAGACAAGGTCATCAGGTAAGACTGACGATGGCGGCGGGGTGTGTGTGTGTGTGTGTGTGTGTGTGTGTGTGACTTAGTTATCTAGATGAGTGATAGAATCCCAGGCTAAGGAACTAGGGAATGATCACTGAGCAGCTCTGGGTCCCCCCCTGATGTTAGTGGTCATGAATTTAACTAAAGTCAATGAACCTCTTGTCTCTTGCCAGGTTGAATTATCCAGGGGCAGGTCAGGAAAAGGTAGAAAGTAGAGTGTAACCAGAGTTAGGATTTTGCCAAGCAAGAGAGAGTAGGAAAGGAGTTGAATATTTGAGAGAATGGTTATAATGCTGTGTCATGAGGTCTAGGCTGGGTAAGGAGGTACATGAAGATACGATGGAGAAGAGGGTTAAGGGATAGTGGAAAGGTGGTAGGATTCATGCATAGTAAGTTCTGATGAGGTCTGAAATTGATTGAGTTGGGTTCTTGATGGAATGAGCTAGGAAGAAAGGAGATGATCAGCAAGCTGCATATTCACTGCTGAGATTATGGAGGAAGTACTGCTATTGAGATGTGACCACCAAAGGAGTCCATTCAAGAGTCCACTGCATTACTAGAAGTATAGCATTGAGAACAAGGGAGGTGAATGTCCCACTTCATTGCCTCCCTTTCAGGCCATCCTAAATACCACATTCAGTTCTAGACTAGATACTATAAATTACCTAAAGCACCTTTGGGCAACAATAACCATGGAAGTGATCAAAATCAAAGGCTTAACTTGGTGGAGAAAAACTCAGAGACTGGTCGGTCTGTATCAGGAATGTGGCACTACTTCCAGACATCTGAAAGCTGTTCTTGCAGAAAAGGATTAGACTTGTTTCTGTAGATCTACGTTTGGAAGAACCAGTTGATGGAATGCCATTTGAAACAAAATCAGTCACAGCCAGCATCCCCCACCCCCGCCCTGCAATGTTCTGCACTCTCTGTGGGAATGAGTTCCCTGTCACAGAAAGAATTCAAGAGTAGGTTGTGTGGTGTGGTGTAAGAGTGAATTCAGACATCGGATGGTCTATAACATGCCTTTCCCACCCACCCCCTTCATTATTCTATTCTGACTTAAGAACCTGTGTCATGGGCAGGATAGGAATCATTATTCCAATTTTATGGAAAACTAACACACAGTCACACAGTACCTGGCAAGACTGTGAGTTGAACCCTGGTCTGCTAACTCCAAATCCAGATTGCTTTCTGCAATGCCAAGTTACCTGTAGATGAGAAGAGAAGGGGTTGAAATTGGCCTTGAGAGTCCATTTTTAGCTTCCTGTTTCCAGGGTTCACTGCTTATCTAATGAAGCAGTAGTCATCCCATGATTCCCCAAAGAGAAGTCTTGCTATTCATGTGAGAAGGTTAAATAAACTAGGATGTAAACGGCTCTTCAAATTATCATCAAAGTCAGTTCACAGTTTCAAAAACACACACAGGCAGTCCAGGGTGAACCCTTGGTGGAGGCATGACTCAGCCAACAGGAATGTGTCCTTAAGTGGGAAAGGCGATGGGTGACGTCTATGGTTTTGACTTTCTAGTAAGCAAAAGCAGATGTTTCTGTGGATACTGTAGGCGCAGAGTGAACTGATCTCCCCAAGCACTGTTGGAAATTTAGTAGCCCCAAAAAGGAGTGCTTTGTCCCAGGGGTGGATCAGGAGCTCTAAAACCAATCACCATGCATTTTAAGAAAGAATCTTGGAAACACTGACTCCTGCCTTCAACATCCTTGTCTCTGCCCAAACATCCTGCTGATTAAAAAGCTCCACCTTCTTGCCCCACCCACAACTTGGGATGTGTCCTCTTGATATCTTTTGGTCTCAACAAAACTCTCTATGGCGCAGTATGGAGCTTGGCCACTGAGGAGGAACCACTAGGGCAGAAGGAATCTCCATTTAGGTCTGCAAAAAGCAGCAATAGATAGTTGGGAATGTTCTCAAAGCAAAGACACAGAGCACTGTTCCATGGCAAAGATTAGTTGCCCCATCTCTGCTCTTTGCCATCCACATGGTAGAACTGGATTGAATTCCTGCCTACAGGCTTTGACCTGGCCCAGCCCCAAATGTTGTGGGCATGTGGGGAGTGAATTAGCAGATAGAAGATGCTCTCTCCCTTTCTCTCTCTCTCTCTGGCTCCCTCTCAAATTTTTTTATAAAGATAGATTTATTTATTTATTTGAGAGGGAGAGACACAGGCAGAGAGAGATCTTCCAGCTACTAGCTCACTCCCCAAGTCCCCAGGACGGGGCCAGACCTGGAACTACAAAGCCAGAAGCCTGGAACTACATCCAGTCTTCCACATGGGTGGAAGAGCCCAATACTTGAACCATCTTCTGCTGTTTTCCAAGCACATGATCAGGGAGCTGGATCAGAAGAGAAGCCGCTGAGAGGTAGCACAAGAATACAAATACCAGAAGCTTGGCTCATTGAGGAGGCCATCAATATAACAAATGACCACAGCCCATCCAGCATAGGAAGGACAAAGAATGGAGCAGCCAGCATTCTAGGAGGATGTGACCTGAAAATTCAAGAAGGGAAGAGAAAAGCATAACAGTTACACAAGTTAGCGAGGAAATATGCCATATAAAATTGAAGGACATTTTTACAGAGTACCAGCTGCAAACCAGACACTTAGCCAAGCATAGTGAGCCATCTGCAGAGAAACAAGCAGTCCTGCTTTTAAAGAGCTTTGCAGTCGGAGAGGCTAAGAAGGCATAGAGGGTCTGGTTATCTAAACTCCAATAGGTAAATGTTCCTGGTCTCTATGTAAGCCAGCACACAAAGACTATCCACTGGTCTTACCAACAGGGACCTACAGAAGGGAAGACTTGGCCCATGCTCTGGGCTCATCCTACTGTGGTGCTCCATCTTCACAATACACTGGCTGCACAAGCAGCTTCCTTTCCTATCTGGAACCATCCCAAGTGGGGTTTGTGCCCCCTGGTTCTATTGAAATCCTCTTTATCCTAAGGAACTTGGGCTGCTTTTGCTTCTGGCATAATTGCATTTCCACCAGTAGGGGAAATTCCCACACATCTGGACACCCCAACTTGAAAGATAGATCATGGGCTGGAGTCAATCCTACCTTTCCCTATAAGCTAACCTGTGCCCAAGCCTGATTCCTTGTCCTCAGCTTTGACTCCCTGACAACTAAGGAGCTAGGAAAGGGGACATGTAGAAAACATTAATTAAGTAAAGACAGTGGTGACTGCTTTGTTCAGGGAATTTCTTCTAAAAAGTTTCCTGTGAAAAAATAGAGAACCATATCATCCTCTAAAAACATATGTTGGTTTTTTTTGAAATTTAACTTTTTAAACTGGAACTAGTAAACTTGTTCCACAAGGGGATCCATTTTGCTGGCAAAGAGATGGGAACAGTAGGTACTGTAACCAGAACTCAGGGAACTGAGCTTTATTTTCATTCTTGACACAGAGAAACTCATTACATAAGCACTGAGCGAGCTAGGAGCAGCATAAGCAAATCATATATCTGATTTCCAGAGCTTTTGAATAATGGCTGTATGCCCAACACTCCTAGGAACTGCAGTGAGAGTCAAAAGAAGTAAGACATGGGCTGCACCCTCAAGAACTTTATAGCCAGGGGCTGGTGCTGGGACTCGGTGGGTTAAAGCCCTGGCCTGCAGTGCCGGCATCCCATATGGTCACTAGTTCGAGTCCCGGCTGCTCCCCTTCAGATCCAGCTCTCTGCTATGGCCTGGGAAAGAAGTATAAAATGGCTTAAGTGATTGTGCCTCTGCACCTATGTGGGAGACCCAGAAGAAGCTCCTGGATCCTGACTTCTGATTGGCTCAGCTCCGGCCATTGAGGTCATTTGGGGAGTGAACCAGTGGATGGAAGACCTCTCTCTCTGGAACTCTGGAACTCTGCCTTTCAAATAAATCTTTTAAAAAAAAGAACTTTAAAGCCCTTCCAAGGAAACAACTTTTTTTTTTAAGTTTATTTATTCACTCAAAAGACAGAACAACAGAGAGGAGAGAGAGAGAGAGAGAGAGAGAGAGAGAGAGAGAATATTACATCCAGGTTTCCATGTGGATGGCAGGGACTCAACCACTTCAGCCATCACCAGCTGCCTCCCAGAATCATATTGGCAGGAAGCTGGATTGGAAGTAGAGTGATCAGGACTTGAACCAGGCACTCAGATATGTGATGGCGGTGCCCCAAGCAGCAGTTTAACCCATCTGCACCACCAGACCTACCCCAAAAAGACAAAATTTTGAATAGAAAATAGAGGGAAGTTATATACTTAACTTTTTGGTGTTGACCTTCAACTCGATGAAAATGCAGCAAGAAGAGTAATCAGAGATGACTGGGAAGAGATAAAATTGTAGGGGCTGAATTTGAGAAAGCAATAGCAGAAAGAATGGCATTCCATATAGAAGATGGGAGGGGGCTGGCACAAGTCCTGGAGTCAGATGACAGGAGAACCTGAAGTTCTGATGTTCAAGGGCAGGAGAAAATCAGTGCCCCAGCTCTACCCAGAAGAGAGAGCAATTTCACCTTTCCTCAACCGTCTTGTTCTATCTGGTCACTCAACTGATTGGAGGATACCCGTCCATCTTGGGTGAGCTCCCTTCCTCACTGGCTCACTGGGAATCTCTCAGACACACACTCAGAAATTAGGCTTTATCAGCTTCCCAAGTACCCCTTAACCCAGGCAAGTTAACATCAAAAATTAACCATCACTCTAATAGGTCTCCAGACCCAGGCACAAGGTTGTAATTAGTAGAGCTGGAAAGTAAAAAGGATTTGGGGGCTGGCGCTGTGGCGCAACAGGTTCAAGCCCTGGCCTGAAATGCCAGCATCCCATACGAGAACCAGTTCTAGTCTTGGCAGCTCCTCTTCTGATCCAGCTCTCTGCTATGGCCTAGGAAAGCAGTAGAAGATGGCTCAAGTCCTTGAGCCCCTGCACCCACATGGGAGACCCAGAAGAAGCTTCTGGCTCCTGGCTTCAGTTCGGCGCAGTTCCGGCCATTGCGGCCATCTGGGGAGTGAACCAGTGGATGGAAGGCCCCTCTCTCTCTCTCTGTAACTCTGTCTTTAAAGAAAAAAAAGTAAGTAAAAGGATTTCAATCATCTAACCTGTTTTGAAATCAAGCTCCTTAAGCCCACAGTTCTACAGATGGGCATTGAGTTCTAGAAATAAAATATTTTATACTAACCATAAAAGATTTAAATTACTAAACACTTTGTCATTCTAAATTGCTTTCTGTATTATGTTTCCTCTCAAGATTTCATTAATTAAAGAATTTTTCTGCAAAAAAAAAAAAAGCCTAGCCATCCACCCAATATCTCATTTGAAACTTCATGAAGTGAATAACAGTTAGACATTGTACTTTCCTGAGCAACAGAAGTAAAAAAGGACTTCAAAAATTTAGTGGAAAATATGAGATTAAAAGGTAATGTGGGGGCCAGCACTGTGGTGTAGCGGGTAAAGCTGCCACCTGCAGTGCTGGCATCCCATATGGGTGCTGGTTCAAGTCCCAGCTACTCCACTTCCATTCCAACTCTCTGCTATGGCCTGGGAAAGCAGTAGAAGATGGCTCAAGTCCTTGGGCTCCCAAAACCATGTAGAAGACCCAGAAGAGGCTCCTGGCTCCTGGCTGTTGCAGCCATCTGGGCAGTGGATGGAAGACTCTCTCTCTCTCTCTCTCTCTCTCTCTCTCTCTGCTTCTGCCTGTCTGTGTAATTCTACTTTTCAAATAAATAAATAAATCTTTTTTTTTTTTTTTTTAAAAAGGTAATGTGAGGGTGGATGCTGTGGCATAGTGGTCTAGGCCAGCATTTGGGACATCTGCTTCCCATATTGGAATGCCTGGTACAAGTCTCAACTACTCCTCACTTCCAATCCAAGTTTCTGTTGATGGTTACCCTGGTAGACAGCAAGTGATGGCCCAAGTGCTTGAGTTCCTGCCACCTATGTGGGAAGCAGATGGAGTTCCTGGTTCTTGTCTTCAACCTGGCCCAGCCCTGGCTGTTGCAGCCATTTGGGGAATGAACCAGCAGATGGAATATTCATATTCATTCTCTCTCTCTCTCCCCACCCCATCCCCTGTCATTCTATATTTTAAATATTTTTTAAAAGATAATGCAAATTTTCTGTGGACTTTTAAAAACACCCTTATATTGCTTAAAATTGGCAGAATCTGGGAGGAAATTAGAGGCAGAAGCCATAGCAATGGCCCTATTCAAATTCCTCCTTCCAT